GACTATTCCTTTCGGGACCTACTAAATGGTGTATATTACAAAGAATCAGTCAATCAAAAGAAGAAAAACGACGAAAAAACGGTTCGACAACGATGACGCAATGAAGAACACGTTAATTACGCTGACAGCTCAACAAATAGCAGCACAAGCAGCCGGCGTAGCCGACGGTGGCAACGAGTCGTAGACGACTGGTTCTCAAGACTATCGGACGAGGTCTGCCTAGTTCAGCGTCGGCGCATTTCCTGATCTCATCAAACCACCACTAACCAGATGCTATAGAACACTGCTATATCCAACGCCTAATAAAACAATTTCAGTCGTGCGGACCAAGTGGTGGATATCAGCCAAATTGAGCCCTATTTGGCTTCGATTCGATCTTTTATGAACATTTCACGCTCTGCTAGGCCCATTCAATGGAGCCGTGGGTAAATTTATTGAGTGGTCCCAAGGAGAGCTCACTAAGACTGCATAATTGAAGAAGACGAGTGCGAAGCGGATGAAAGAGAAACGGAACAGTAAAGAGGTTCAATGCTGCTTAAGGTGACTTGAAGGATTAAGTTTAACAAGAAATTTGTTTCAAAAAGGAAATTAGTGGTCAACGGTTCATATAGACAGAAAAAGTCGCCTTCTTCCAGGACGATGGCTCAAAAGATATCATGCCCCGGTATTGTGACAGAGATCACCTAGTAGCAGAGCTTCTTGGATTCCAAAAAGCCTTCTATTTTGATTCCCACCCTTATACGGTCTACGCCTAAGTGACACCTTGAGCCCTGACTGAGACTGCCCAGTAATCGCTTCCAGTCTGTCATGACGGCAGCACACAGTCGTCATGTCTACAGTGCCCATCTTCCCTTGATCGGAAACTACCATTAAATCTCTCCAACCGACTTGAGGAGATATCGGCAAATTTTAATCACTGATGATAATTCACGCACAAGCAATGAATCGCTGAGTTCGGAATCCACAACGTCTTAGGCAAATTGAGTTTTTCTGGCCATGACGACCGATATCAAAGATTCACGATTGTCCCTATAGGATATGCCGTGCTCAACTTCGTTATAAAGCTAATAATAAGGGAACAACCCACCCTTCCTACAGTAAAAATGAAATATCAAAGTAAAGGAGGAAGAAAAGTGTTCAAAAAGAAAAGAGGAAGAAAAAAGAGGAAAAAACAGACGTGTAATCGTCAGGTCTCCGTGATAAACACGCAAAGGAAAAGGGAATGAAGCTGTCAGGTAAATCATGGCATGTGAATGAAATATTCCAATCGTTGGTTAATAATTGATTTCCATGACATATGATCTCGCCCGTCTGCGTTCCATGCGACAAAGTTGACATAAAAGACGAAATGTGTTGTTTTTCCATTTTATAGTCACCTATGAAGGCCGTACGGGTGACGAATAATCAACAGAGGCAACTTCGTACCCGGCTGAAAGTCTAGACAGATTACCATGACTCACTCATGCTGTCTTATCACCAGCTAGGCAAGAGGTCATTGAAATTCTTACGATTTCGAGCTCATCGCTACCAAAATACCAACCTACGAGCTAGTTTTTCACCTATATTAGAACTTTTTCTACTAACACGTGTGTAAAATTCGAAATTGGGAAGGATCGAGTTCGAATTTGTGCTGATTGTAAAATTACGGAAGTGGTGTTGTCGCAAATGGCGTACTACCACATGCATGGTCACGGGTTCGAATCCGGGTCGATGTCTGTCTAGGACAACCAACTTTACATCCCTCAGGGTCGATACTAGACTCACCTGAGAGGTTAAAAGCAGTGACTTATACATCGGTTGGCCATCGCAATTCATTGTATAGGCCACATACGCACTCACAACGCCACCACGATTCTGAATGGAAGTTNGGGGCTCTCGTTGCCAGGTTAAATTGGACGTGGATTTCTGAATGACAATTCTATGTGACCAACAAACTCTCATAATATCCAAAACTCGCTCATCTCGATCTTGGAGTGCCCATTATCCACTCCGATTACCAAGGCACAGCTTTGCACCACCCAAATCGTCCTGACAATGAGAACACATCATGAGCCTCTTCAAGTCGAGCCTTTTCTTCATCATTCCGCAATCGGCTACCTACCCAAAATCGTTTCCTTGACGGCTTGTCCATCAACTAATCCCTGGGCAAAGATTAAAAGCGTATTCTAGCACTATCACGATCCTTTCTGGAAATAGAATATATGGCGTAATCTAAGTAGAATCAATGCCAAAAATTTCTACTCTGACCTTGAGCACTGCATGTCTCTTCCAGCGTGGGAATGCTCTTCCGTATATACCAGAGGCATCAAAATGGATGGAATTTTCAGGCATCAATTGTTCCCGTCTGAGGGATGCGCCCACGCATTTGACTTTCATTCAGAATCTTAGTGGCTTATTAAATGCCTGTGTAGCATATAGAATGACTTGCGGTGGCCAGCCTATGTAGAAGTCAGTGCTTTTATCCCCCTCCCCCAAACGGATGTGGTCCAACTTACCGACCCCGTAGTGGTCTAGTCGGATGTCGATCCGAGATTCGAACCCGTGAGCATGCGTGTGTGATAGTGCGCCACTTATCGCTTCATCACCTCCGCCCTTTCAATAGGCATGGACGATGCTCCAAGAATAAAAAATCCTCGTACAGCTCTTTGTCTAGCATATATTCACCAAAGCAGCGTAACTAATGATAATATCAGCTGATTATTGATAGGATTTTCAAATCCTCTCATAGGATGTGTTCAAGAAGGCCCTAGACGGATATTCTTCCTTTCTTCTCAGTCTAGGTAGTCAGTTCCTTCATAGTACAGCCGGCGATTAATGTGATTGCTCTATTTCAGATCCAAAAATTTGTGACACTTTTTTGTTTATATTGTTGTTTTGAAGGATTCAAGCCTGCAACTTGTTGTTGTTTACATTCGTAGCAGTTGCAATGTTATTGTCCCTTTAGTTCAAGTTTAATCTGCACGCTGAACCGCGTTATAATGAGGAACATTTTTGTTGGGACTGCCTCTCCTTTTCTTCATTACAATCCTCAAGCTCTACTGGATCGACCGCTGTACTCTAGTAGTTTTGCTGAGCAGTAGTTTTGTTGTGCAGGAGGATGAAGCTTTATCACACGATCATGGTCGGATGGGGATCCCGGAACAACAGGTAAGGTTAAAGGTACCAGACCTATCTGGGAGAGTAAAGGCACTGACCTAAACAACGATTGGCAACCACAAGTCATTGTATAGGCCACTTGCCCATTCAAAGCGCCACTCCAATCTGAATTCGAAGGTCTGAGCGCACCCAAACCTCCAGGTTTCAATATGTACACTCTCAAGAGTGGTGTTGAAATACATGGTATCTAAGCACTCCGTAGATAGTAATCCTTTTTTTGATAAAAGAATTCAGAGACAAAATCCAGTATCAACGGAATCGCTTTATTTCCTTTACTGTCAGCATTTCCGTGAACAGTTATTACTAGTCAGTTACTATTCAGCGGCGATACCTGAATATATAGTAGACTTCTTACTTATCACTTTTCTGGAAAAGCGGATAATCAAGGAATTAGAAGATTGTGATTGTTTGGCACCATGCGACTGATCGGTTCCAGGGCTAGCTTTTTGCCGTTGACTTTTTTGCCCTGAAATTCGATCCCAGATCTGCAAATGTTTGACGAATCTTCTAGCCATGAGTAAGTCAGGTTTTCTAGTCCTTGAGAAGGACAGAAGAAATGTCCATTACTTCATGGCTGTTCGACAACTTTTTGTTTTTTGATACCTCTTTCGATTACTGCTTTTTCTGTATGAATTTCGAGCTTTCTGAGTCACCGTATGTCTTTGGATCTCTTTTATTTCCAGTTGAGTAGAAGTGCCCCTAACCTTCTAGACAGTTTCCTTCCGAACATCTTAGATAGACATTGATCGCAGAAGTTTGGACCCCATTACCACCTACTCATTCCGTTCCGAATAGCTGCCTTTCTCAGTTTTAACGCCAGCGAGGTTTCTGCTTGTAAGGTTTAGGGTTATCATTTAAGCTGAATGACCTCCTTCAGTTGAGCTGGAAGTTGTTTTGCGACGCTCTTCTGGTCTTTGCTGTCATACCGATACCGCAAGCATACAGGACGGCTTTTTTCTGAGAAAATCCTCCTAAATCTGTCAATATGGTCATCAGCGACGCATCTAAAGAACGTTCAATCATAGCAAATTGTTACTTTCATGGATGAAAGCAGTTTTGTCCAAGTACATCTGTCAAAAGCTTCTTAGTCCTTCTCCCAATGAGACTAATAAATTAAAATCCGAATGATACTTATATAATGTATAGTGGAGGTTGAATATCACCGAATGGATTGTGAAAGATGATGAAATTCCCAAAATGATATCGAACGAGACCAACTAAATCATCCCTTGGCTTTTTCGTGAACGCCCAAATTCCTTGGGAGGATAATACGCCGGCTATCCTCTTGAGTGTACGATCCCCTTAAGGGTGTGGGAAGGAAAAAGTTGATTCCGAAAGAATGGAAAATCTGGTTTGTGGGATTTTCTCGATGGTTTGATCGACAAAACAGGCATACGATAGGGCGATCCTTGTCACTGCCTCAGCTACGGCTGAAAAGAAGACTCGATGATATTGAGAAGTATAAACTCTCCTGTAAGTTTGAGAAGACAAATTTTCTCTACTTTTGAGTAAGCCAGAAAACAGGAAGGACATGTGAGTACCTTGTATTTAACTAGTAAATTTCAAAGTTTCTAGAATTCTAATGGGATAACATCAACGTTGAGAGAAAACCCTCAAATTTAGCTTGAAGGACGCCTCATCGAACCATTCATGGGCATGAATGCTTTGTGATTGTGATAACATATGATAATGAGCGATAATGATGAGCGATCCTTACAATAGTAGGAACTGATTGCAAAAGAGCGGCTCCTTTGAGCTGAAAGGAGTATCACCCACGATGATCCCATGGAATCCGATGACTGAATGAGTAATCGCGGAACCGCCGCCACCAACCTGTAGGAAGTATGCGGTGAGTGAAAGAGGCGCGAAAGAAAAACAACCTCGCAGGAGGACTGTCAACAATGATGTTCAGGTGGTCAGTACACACATCTATACACACATAAAGCTAAAGAGAGACGACCAGACGACCGACGATTGAAATGTGCAGGGAAAATGAGCGAAACCAGATACATCACGACAACGAAACACCCACCACTACAGAGTGCTTTTTAAGGCTTTTTGTCAAATTTCAGGATCGCTGGGCTCTTCCCGTCTTTATAAAGCCCATCTAACCTCACTGTCCGGTTCGTGTTTCCCCTCAATCGTCGTATCTTCTCTACACTGAATGCGATTTCACTTTAATCCATAGATGACTCGACTGATTCTTGATTACCTCTCATGCCTACCGCTACGCCATGCATATGATCAGTAGTGCCTTTTCGATTAGCAGTAATGCTGCTGGTTCGTATGCGAATTATTAAAAGGTTTTCGACCCGTCAGGGCTTACGTTCATTCAGGAGCAGGGCATTCAGTGTGCTTACGTCGTAGTGCTCTTTCATGGTATTATTTTTCGGATGATGAGACTGTCTATTCCTATCCGATCGCCTTCTTGATGTTCTTTCTGAAGTTAACAGCCATACTCAATGCATACCTTGCTCGATTAGGTTTGACCAGCCCATTCTCAGATAGCTTCCGTCCTATCCACGATCTTTTGTCAACAAGTAGGCCCCAAAAGAAGCACTACCTACATGGAGTCACTTGATCGAAAAAAGTCGAATGAGGTGCTCCTCGCATATGCCTTTCACTTGCCTGGACCAGAATCTTCCATTTTCGTCTGTTTCCTCCATGTTCTGTCACAAGGCTCAACATTTTGGCATGAGCCACCTCTTTCACATTTAGCTTGACGGCTGTCAAATTTTGCAAAATCCCCAAACTTAATACTTTCAGAAGCCAAATCCCGAAAGAGATGTGGCGTTACCTCACAGTAGCAGCTGCTATCGGCACCGTTTTAGCCACTCCATTAGTGAGTTACAGTATCCAGTTCAATGGCGGAAGTTTCGAAAAGTTATTTTCAGGCAGAATTGTCTAGTCATAATATGACTAGCATATCAAACAAAACGGCAGAGGCATTAGCCACCAATGCATTAGGTGAAACAGAAGGAGCAGTTTACAATGTGACAATGTATCTCGACAGCTTGAATGATACCGCACTTTCTGAATTGGAATTGGCCCGATTGAAACGTGGATGTATATGTGAATGTGCTTGCCCTATGCCCTGTCCTATGCCCTGTCCTATGCCAGTTCTTCCACCGGTACGTTCAGGCACATTCCCTTTTTTTTCTCGAGAAAAAGACATATTTGGAATTCCTTTTCAATTCAGGCTCCTCCATGTGTCGTACCATGTCCAGTTCGAGTGCCAGTCGGTGTGCCATGTCCTGTTCCAGAACCGGTTCCAATGCCTGTACCGGCTCCAGTTCCCGTACCGGTACCACGACCGGTGCCAATAATTTGTGCTCCAGTACCAATTCCTGAACCAGTTCCAATGCCTGTACCAGAACCTATACCCGTACCTGTTCCAGCACCTGTACCAGCACCTATTCCAGTGAACATACCAGTTATGTGTGGCCCTGCACCAGTACCAGTACCAGTGCCAGCACCTGTACCTGTACCAGCACCTGTACCTGTACCTGCACCAATACCAGCACCAATTCCAGTACCTGCACCAGTGCCAGCACCAGTACCATGTCCTGTTCCATGCCCGTGTCCATGTCAATGTGCATGCCCATGTCCGTGCTCTTGTGTAAACTAACTTTTAAGTTTGCTAATTTTTAAGTTCAATCACTCTGAATTTCTTTTTCCCGCACGATTTTACTAACTCAAAAGATTCCAGTGAATCAACGAGCTCCTGACTGTCCATCGCCAAGCCCGTCGTTGAAGATCTGTATTGTGGCTGGGAAATGTTGCAATACCGCGGTTAATTGTAATAATTCGTAATATTATTAATAAGAATTCATAAGAAGTTTTAAGAAGTAATAAAGCTTTAATAAGTAAAATTGTGTTCTAGAACCGGAACATTACAAATTTGACTATTCGTTGATCAGACATGCGCTGGAAACGCTCCGTAGAAGGGTCTAGTGGAGCATGGTTGAGTAGGATCCTGAAACAGCTTGGAAGTTCGGTCCCTAATGAGGACAAAATAATGTTACTTCAATAAGCCACTCCGTAAAGTGGATAGTCCACTGGTAGGCTGTAGAGCAGAGGCATTTTTGAGCGATACTAGTACCCGCAAAAGGGATGCTGTGGCTCGTATCCATCGAGAGGAGACGATCCACTGAACAATCGTGACGATAGGGACGAATGGAGAAGTTAGTGGCGCCCACTCGAGGAGATCAATGATCATCAGGACAGTAGGTAGTACAGATACCTGAGGAGGAAGCTCCTGAGCTCCAGCTCATATGTCCTCATTTGTTATGAGCTCGGAGTGGAAAACGAGGTTTTCAAGTGCCCATGGTTTTTCTCACTGCGTTGTTTCAAACAAATATCCCTGCTCTCCACTTCGGTTCTTAACAGGCCGGTCAGCAGGTTCGGCCAGGGTCTGCCTCTCTCCTCATACAGCACGGAAGCTCTAAAAAGGCTCATCGACCGCTATCACATAGTACACAAGCTTCGCAAAATTATCAAATAATATTCAGAGAGATTAACTTTTTGCCGGCAATATTACTAGCAGGAACCCTCGCCTACCACACATTCCAAATATGGCCCTCTTCTCGAGAATTTGGGGAGAGGGGGGGGGGCATAAACAACTTCCTACCGTTCTCCTTGTAGTCCAGACCCAAGAGCGAGCAATTCACAGGGAAATGTTTGCAAACTGACGTATGCCCTCAAAGAGCGAACGAAGTGCCTGGTTCTTGTGCACTTTTTGTTCCTCTTTTTCTC